CATCAGTCTTATGATTAGGAGACCACTCTTAATGCAGTAGACACTGACATATGCCAGGCCTTTGGGGATTTGGGGTTTCCAGCAGACAGATCCCTATGTGCAAGAAACTACACAATTTTCCTAATGGCCATAGGAAGGCAAGTTTCTTTCTTCCCCAAAGTCTGTGAAAGACTCTTCTTGTTCTTTCCTTTTTATAGCTCCTATCTTCCCCTTTCAAAAAGGAGAATTTTGCTGACACAATCACGTTATGTCCAGTTACTTAACATCAAGCAGATGGTTGCTAAAATTCTTGCATCAGCAGTAAGATTTTAATTATTCTTTGGTAACTGTGCATCCTGGCAGTAGTAAACCCTGGCAATTGTAGCCATTTTTGTGATGTCCTTATCTTTGATGGCAGCTGAAATGTGTTTATGCATCCTTGACACTAAACAAATATTTTGTTGTTCTTTGGCTTCTTTATTTCCTGTAAGTTTGTTTGATCTTGACAGTTTTACAACATCAGTGGCATACCAAAAAGAAATTTGTTCAATGACATCTGTACAGTCTGTGGACAGAAAATCTTTGTGGATATAAAAAAAAAAATAAGGGATCATTGAAAATACCTTACAGCTGTTCTGTAATCATGGATATTCTTTCCATGTAATTATGAAATTATTGTTTTCTCCTCTTTTATGCTGCATTAAAAAATAATGATGACAATAAATACCAAGAAAAAAAGGAACTAAAACCTCATTCAGAAACAACATTGTGCAGAGGTAAAAAAAAAAAAAAAAAGGAACACAAACTATTTTTCAGTTCTGTAACACAAGTTGAGGCCATGCAGATTTCTGGCTGACAAACTGATGCAAGAGTGGCGATAATCCTATAGTTCCAGGCTTAAATTCACCACTTGGTGCACAGCCTTTGTGGGTGTGCCTGGCAGGACATTAGACCAGGCATGCTGACCCATCAGCCAGGTCTGCTAATTCAGGCTCCACTCGTGAGCATTGCAGAGGATTTCCTCCAGCTGTGTCTGGGGCTGTTTGCCAGGTAGTTTTAAGGCAGATGTGGAGCCCTTCTCAACCAATGTCCTGTACCCTAGAGCTTGACAGAAGAGCCAGTGACCCAGGGATACCAAACAACTCTACATCTTGCATTCCAGAAACTCAAAATGAAAAGTACTGAATATGTGCTGGAACAATGTTACTAATCACTCACTTCTGCACTTCATAAAAGTATCCTGGCTTCTTGAGAGCTGGAAAATATGAGAACCAGTCTGGATGTTGAGGACGTTGAATTCAGCTTTACAATAACTCCAAATAGTCCAAATATTTTAAGTAATTTGAAACTGCTTGGTTATAAAACCAGGCAATGTCCACACTCAGTCATTAAAATTATCTGCTGATGGTTTGACCAGATTTGCAGATGTAAGCACTGAGTCTTTTTTTGTATTTGAAAGATTCTTTAACGATACACCTGATGCTGGGTTTCATGAATCCTGCATCCACAGCTGGTGCATTGTTGGAAAGAACCAAACTCGCCCAGACTGCCCTGAGAAAGCTGATTTGAAGGGGTTGTTCAGCAGCCTCTACCCTCCCTATAACAAGTGTGCTTTTCATTTGGATTTTCTAAACCATAGCCTGATTACCTACTAATTCTTGTTTTGATCTGCAGCGGAGGGATGAGATGGCCACATTAAGTAAATGGAAAACCTGTTATTATTAAGGAAAAATTATATTTAGGGAAAATGATAGGTTTGTTTGCCTTTACCTTATCTAAGACCCCAAGCAACATAGGAAAAGAAAAGTGCATATATATTTTCTTTCTTGATTTCAAGACATCCAGAATTAATTTTTATAATGAGAGGAACACTTTAAAGAATATAAAACATAACTTTATAAAGACCATGGAGTGGATTTTGTTCTTTAACAATTTTTTTAAATTATGTAATGCACTTTCAGAACTTTTAAATTATGTAAAGCACTTTTCCATTTTAGTAGTTGGCAAACAAGATTTTTTCCTTTAGCAATTAAAACAAAATTGCTTGAAGTTGAAGATCTGCTACTGCAGTTTTCTGTAGAAAGCTGCTTGAGTGAAAGCAAAGTTTGGCTTATTTTCTTGGAGCCTATTTTAACCATAGGATACTTAAGTTTAACATTACCTCTATTGAAAAAAAGAAAGTAAATTATGGGTGTTAAGGAATTAAATTATGAGCACCAAAAAAAAAAGTTATTTCAAAAATTTAACCGAATACTGTATCTTTGATTCTGACTAAGAAAGATCTTCTCACCAAGATTTACCTATTGTTGCATTTTCTCTCCAGTTTCCTTATGAATAGATTGTGTGGGAACTCCCAAATATTTTATGGACAACTTCTGGTCTGTCTCTGCTATCTGCTGGTTCAGCAGTCAATTGTTACAGGCGTCATCCAAGGCATTATTTACTGGTTCTGGAATAGGATGCAGATTATTGGTGAGAAGTCAAAGTGTTGGACATTTACCTGCCTACAATAATATGCATATTCTGTACCTAATTTTAAAATTCTAGAGAAAAGAGCAATTGGTGGAATTCTAGTGTGCTAGAAAACACTTTTGCTTCTTTTTGCATGGCAGCGAGGCTATGCAGCATGCTATGTAAACAGCATGTTTTGGAAGCTCGTGATAGAAAAAAAATTAGATTTTCCAGAATGAAGAAGTAGATAGCAGAAGTAGCTTCTGAATTCAGATTAGACATGATCAGTATTTTAAGAATTTCTACTTTGTTATTAGAAATCAGAGATACATTTACTTAACTTATACTTTAATATATATATAATAAAGCAAATATCGCATGAAGTCATCTATAGGTGAAAAAAGGTTTAAATGCTAAAAATAGGAAATTATGTGCTTAAAAAACCAAAGTAAATTAAAGAAAGAACAGATCTTGAATACATAGAAACAAGGTGGCTTTTTTAGCTTAGATGAAGTAAAAAAGTAATTCTTATCTTGTGTTATGCCTGCATTAATAAATACAAAAATGCATGTAAATAAGCTGTTAATTTTCATTGTGCTGTCAAATTTGCCTGCTTGTGGGTGTAATGGAAGCAGGTGTGTCCTCAGCCTTCTCAATGGCTGGCAAAGAACAGGAATACTTTGCTCTCACTGGCACTTTGGTTGGAAATTTCCAGTGCAATCAACTCCGTTACAGTGAGGTGTTTGAACAGGGGTTTTGCACCACATGAGATGCCCAAGATCAAAACAGCAATAAAAACACTAACTTGGACATGGTCTCATCACAGTTACAGCCAAATATTGTTAGGTGTTTCCATTTGAAAGCTTTTAAGACCTGCTTCTATATGTGCCTGGAAATGTCCTAAGCTGAGCCTAAGTCCTGAATTGATCCAGAAGTTCATAGTCCTTCCAGTCGATCAGAATCAAGCTATTAGGGTTCACCCAAAATTTTCTATGGCTGCAAGAAAAATATCACAGAGATATCACTTTCTTTTTACATCAGCTCTGAAGGATGGGTCTTGTGCCAGTCTTCCATTTGTTCGATTTTTCAATTAGGACCTTTGTCCCAGTAACCTTCTCAAGAAAACACTACCCCACCTGACAGCAAACACAATGTCCTATGGAGGATGTTCTCCACCTACTCTAGTTTCATGGACTACATTTACAAGAAGAGCAAAAGGTAGGAAACACTCTTTTCATGCCTATGTTAAGGTTGCTGAACATAAAGAGGAATGTGGTGCTGGATTCAAGGACTATATGTGTGTTTCCCACACTGTAGCAGACAGCAGCTTAGACTCCACTTGTACAAGTCAGAAGAATATTTGAATCCTACTCTGAAGCATCTATTGCCACATATAGTACAATGAAATTAGACAGAAATCATCCTCCATAGATGTCTTTCGTAAAGGAAATTATAGAAACTAAAAGCTACAGCAGACAGAACTGCAGAGAGAAAGCACATTTCTATATTATGCCTTGCAGCCATGATTTTCAGGAGATCTGGATATTTAACTTTCTGTGACAATGAAATAAAGAGAATCAGTCCTTAGATTCACTGACTAGGAGAGCTAGAACAAAATTATTTGCTGCATAAAATGATTTTTAGGACTTGATGAAAAGTGGTTTATACAAAGAATGCGAAAAACCCTTGGCTAGGCAGGTTCTCTCTGTTCTCTTCTGAAACTTTTGTAAAGATGAAGACATACGTAAACTACAGAGCTGTATATCTAAACAACTTTTCATCATTAAATATTTAAATGAAGCAGCTTTTGCTCATACTGCTGCTTAACCTGTAGATAGCTACTCCTGTTTAACCTCAGAAGGCAGCTCAGCACCACACATCCACTCTCTAACTCTCCCCCCAGTGGAACAGAGGAGAAAATCTGAAGGGTAGAAGTGAGAAAGCCTGGGAGTTCAGATTAGGGTAGTTCAACAGGTAAAGTAAAAGCTGTGGTCACAAGCAAAGCAGAAGAAATAATTAATTTACTACTTTCCATCAACAGGCAAATGTTTAGCTATTGTCATGAAAGCAGGACTCCATGGCACAGAACTTTTACTTGGGAAGGCAAATATGGTAACTCCAAATATCCTCCATTACTCTTTCTTTCCCACAACTTTTAGTGCTGATTTTCTTATCATGGGCCATGACATTATATATGGGACATCCTTTTGGTCAGCTGGGATCAGATGTCCTCACTGTGTCCCCCCCCCAAATTATGATGCATCCCCTACCTGCTCACTGGCAGGATGACATGAAAAACAGAAAACACCTTGATGCTGTGCAAGCATTGTTGAGCAATAAATATAAAGCCACTGTGTTATGGAGACTGTTTTGGGCACAAATACAAACCACAGCAGCACAGAGGAACTATGAAGAAAATTAATTCTCTTCCAGCCCAAACCTATACAACTATTCAGAATATGAGCTACAAAAAGTAGTTATCTCATAAGAAGTGTTAGAATTTGCAGTAGCGCAGCTTTCTGTTCTTGAGATGCAGATAAGTGATTGAACAAACAGGCAAGTGAAGTAAATACAGAGTAAATTCATTACATATTTATTTCTTAATGTCCCTGTCTAGGACCTTAGAGCTATTTTCAAATTAAACCAAAACATCTGCTGCTGGTCTTCTTCGAGAGGCCACTCCAGGTAGGTCTTTGTGTTCATGATCTTCCGCAGCTTGCAGAACCTCTTGGGAATTGCCTTGCTCTGGATGGGCTCCAGGAGGATGAGAATGGCCGCATCGTTGTTCTCATCAAAGAGGCGGAAATGCGAGAAGTCCAGCTCGTATTTGCACCACTCGCTCTGCACAAAGTGCTCGGACAGCACAAAGAGCGTTTTGCGGCTCTTCTCTATGGAGTCGATGATGTTGTCCACAATCCACTTCCCCGGCACAAAGTCCCGCTTGTGCAGGCAGAGCCGGAAGGGAGGGCAGGCCTGCTCCAGCTCCCGCACCATGGTGTCCTCCACCCACTCGGAGTCGTTCTCGCTGTAGGAGACAAAGGCGTCGTAGCAGACGTCCTTCGGCGGGGCGCGCTTGGGCTTCCGCTTGGCCTGCAGCCACGCCCACGTCATCCGCAGGTACCAGACCACGTGGTACTTGTAGCCGACGGCCACCAGCAGCAGGACGAGCAGGAACACCAGGACGCAGATCAACGACACCACCAGGGACCTGTGGCACTCCATCAGGGAGAGGCGCACGGAGCCAACCTGCGCCCCTCTCACCGCCAGCGGAGAGTCACACACGTACTTGTCCGGCCACCCCACCAGCACCTGGGCTAGCCCGGCCTCCTGGTGGATGAAGGAGAGGAACTCACAGGAGCAGATGAAGTTGTTGTCACTGGCATCCAGCAGCTCCATTCTCCTGAAGGACTCAAACTCCTCCTTGGAGAAACTGTTCAGCTTGTTTCTTCTGACGGACAAGGACACCAGGTTTGGAATGGGTGCGGCACCCGGCAGGGTCTTCAGCTGGTTCCTTGTGAGGTACAGCTCTTTCAGAAATGGCAGCTGCAGCCCAAACTCCTTCAGGTTGTTTCCACTGACATCCAAAACTTCTAGCGTTTGAGGAATGCAGGTTGTTACTTTAGGAATTTGAGTGCTGGACAGGTTTAAATATTTCAGCAGTTTTGGCCATTCACATGCATCTGGAATCTCACCAAAATTATTTAGGCTTATGTCTAAAACAATTAGGTTTCCTAGATGAGATAAGCTTTTACTTGTCATTTCTAAGTCATTCAGTGAATTCTGACTTAAATTTAGAGTTTGCAGTGATGGCCAAGCACCCTGACAGGCTGAATGTTGTAAACTCAGGTCTCCAAGTAAATTTGCACTAAGGTCAAGATATACTAACGACTGAAGATGTTGGGAAATTCTGCATGGTACCAAAAAAACCTTAGTGTTTTGAACTGTAACCCTTGTAAAAGGAGATAGTAGACCTTCCACAGCCTGAAGATCTGTAAACAAGTAAAATTCTTCTATAGATAATTTCTTTATTGTGAAAATTCTAAGTGTCTGTGATTTCTTTGCTTGAATTTCCATTTTCCACTGTCCAGTTCCCAAGAGTCTACAGTCTATCAGCTCCAGCTCCACTAACTTTGGCATGTCTTCTAAAATGCTGACAATCTCAGGCACGGTAGTATCTGTTAGTAAAGCCTGTCTAAAAGTAATTTTCTTTGCAAAAGATGAAGACATGACTCTCAATTCTTGCATTTCTGAAGCAATACTGAACGCTATTCTTCTCACTTCCAGCCAAGCAACAGAGTGCACAAGATCCCTAACGATTTCTGAGAATGTATTAATACTTCTTATATTTATGATCATGTGATTTATCTGCTTAATTGATTTCAAACTTCCCTGCTCATACTCACTGAGATTGCTACCGTCAATCCACAACTTGTGCAGAAGCTCAATGCCCTCATTATATTGCCTAAAATAGGAAACACAGTCAGAGCAAATATAAGAAGTGTAGCTTGCTTTGGAGAAGCTACATTTTGGATAAATCTAAAATATAAGTTTTACTGTTCTGACTTGTTGAAGGCACTGTTAAAATATTTGGTTTTGACACAGTTTAGAGTTGAAACAGATTCATTTATACTCTGATCCTCCTCCTTTGTAGTCAGTAGCCTTCATACTTCTCACCTCAGGTCTTTTTCTTCTGAATCTGTGAATATTATTTTGTATATTCATTTTTTTACCACAGGGAGTCTCCTGTACATGTTTCAAATCCTGGTTACATCAAGAATCTTACAGTAGATAGTAGCATTCAGGTTTAATACTTAGTTCAAGCATATGTCAATCTCTATTCTGACAATATGGAGAAAAAAAATGCATTTGTTTCCGTCCATTTTTAATTTTATCTGCTTTTTCCAACTCTGATGGTAAATGTCCTGTGAGCAGGGAAACAAACACTTGCCCGGATTACTCTCATGTTGCCATCAGTCTGATTCTTGCTAATGAAATTTAAGCTTGTAAAACTGACCATTGTTGCCTACTGCCTCAGCTCTTCCTTTTTACTGCCACATCCTTCTCCTCTGCCAATGTCTTTTTCTGTTTTGGGAACCTGCGGCAGAGAGAAGATTAGGCCAAGCCACACGGAAGAGCCAGGGGCTCAGATCCAATCAGCTGACTGGACTAGATAGCTTTTTCCAGCCCCACAGCCTGTTTCTGGTCTTCTGGACTGAAATTATTCAAGAGAAGCCACACAAATGTGGATCCTGTGTCACTCCACTTTCACAGTTTTCATAATGATGATTTGGCATGGCTTTTTTTTTTTTTTTAACAGAGCTTCCTGCAATAGCCAGCTTGTCTTTACTCGCAAGAGGATGCCTTTAGTTCCTCTATCCTTCTGAGGAGCTGGAAAAATAATTTTTGAAGCCTAAGAGAGGTCTATTCCCTTTAAAATCTTCATTGCGTATTGAAATATAACCTTTCTTGACAAGGACCAAAGATAATTTTTAAAATGCAATTTTCCCCAGCATGCCACAAAAACCACTTACCTCAGTAGGTATCTTACTGAGGTGGAAAGAGCAAGCAATCCTCAAAGAGGACAATCAATGAGTTCACAAAATCATTGTGGGCTCTCTATCAGGTTAATCAGGTTAGATTGGCTCCTTGAGAACTGCTTTCTCCCTCAGTCATCCCACTGAGATTCTATGCAGATGATCTACTCTGAATTAATATTCTAATTTGTTTTACAGTAGCTGACCCATGTATACAAGTTAATACAGAGAAGTCCCTCCCTTCCAGCTGCATTCTTTTTAGTCCTAACTGCTTAAAATTAACCAGAAGAGGCAAAATTGACTGAGATGGTTTGGGCTATGGGGAGGGGAGGAAAAGTTATGGATAATTTTTTCAGTCATTCCACCTCTTCCCACCTGCAGGACTATAAACATTTTGACCCCTTGTGTTACTTTCCTTTTATCTCTGTCTGGCTCTGATGTAGAGCTTTGGATTTTGAAGGACAAGGTTCTCTTCCCTGTCTTTAGATGCCCACAGCTGAACTGGTCATCCACCGTGTCCTCCAAAGTCAATGGAGATAAAGAACATCTTTTAGGAGCAATTAACATAGTATGTCTTGGACACCCAGATTAAGATGTGATGACTCTGAGATAAACTATCCCATTGCCTTAAAATGGGGTATCACAGTTTAGATTTCTAGATATTTGTCCCCATGAATCCCAAACAAAAAGTCATGGTCTGTAGTTAGACTCATCTGCTGTCCAGATGAGGGAGGCTCTTTTGCAGGGCTTTTTGGTCTCCCAAGGGTAACTGGATAATGCAAGGCTGTAGGCTAAAGGAGTAAACCTAGGAGTGGCATGAGTTCCACCAGCAACAGATTTAGTGGTATTTTTACAGTTGTCATCCAAATACTTACTTTTGGAAAATGCAGCAACCAGGCAACCTGATCAGTCAAAAGCTGTCTACAGGCAGGTTATTTATAGGTGGAAAATTGGCAGCACACAAGGGAACTGGGCAGGTACTGCACAGGAAATACCAGCAGAGCCTAATGGCTCTCCACCTTACCAGTCTGAAACCATCCAGGTACTGCAGGACTGAACTGCATTTGGTGATTCAGGATGCTGACTTTCCAATGTTTTTGCTCATCTGTAATCTGAACAGACACTCAGAGGAATTCCATTCCTACCCTCATTCACTTTCAGCCATTCTCTTCCCCTTCTGATTCCTGCCTAATGATTCTGCTTGAGACCCTGACTTACAAGGTCATTTCAGGCCCCCGCACATGCACTCAAACATACAGCCCCAGTCCATGATATCATTGCCCTATCAAGAAATCACTTCTCCCTGTTGTGCTGGGAATTAAAAAGCCACAGTAAGAAAATTAAACTGAAATGCAACTAAAAATACATAAACTTGCACAGATGCCCTTATACCATAAGGTGCTGTAATGAACCAGGCATTCAAAATGTTTCTGAGTTATGGAAAAAGGGTCCAAGCCATCAGACATGCTCAACCTTATTTTCCCTGGCCCACATGAGAAGTATTTGAGGAAATACATACGTACTCTTAAACAAAACCATGACTGACAACAGAACGAGGTTCTAGAAACACTCACAAATGGGGAAGGTTAATGTAAGACCTAAAACAAAGCGTGCCAATGGTGTGCAAATTGATTCTAGCTTGGGGAGCACTACCCAGCTACATGTGGGCTGGTAAATTTGAGCAGTGCTGTGGAGCCTGCAGAGGGAGAGCCCCTGGGTGGTGAAGAGGCCAAACCACAAGCAGACTGGGGAAGGCTGCTGCTGTCCACCTGGCAGTGTGTGGGTTAGGCACGTCCTAGTTCTCAGCCCCCAGCACTGCCCTAACAGCACGTCTGCACAGCCACACACCCCCACGCACACGGCCATGCCTCTGCTTGTTTCCCACACAGAAGATGTGCAGCAGGTCAGAGTTAGATGAGGAGGCAGCTGATGTCCCAAGGCCACTGTTCAGTGAACTCTTTCCTGGTTGAATTCCTGAAACCAAAGTACCCCACCTTGACTCCCAGCCTTCCCTGGGCAGCTGGTATCAACACCCAGGTGGGACAACATAGAAATAGGACAAATAGGACAAGGCACCCTCCCCCAAGGAAACTGAGCAAATACGGCACAGTCTGACCCAATTTGTCTCTTTTTCATTTGCTGCTTTCCTCTCTCCCATTTCCCAGAGGACATTGGTCTCATCAGCATGTCACATGTCTAGGAGAACCTTCCTTTGCCTGCCATGCATCCCTGCCAGATGCCTGGGATTGCACCTTCCTGCTCTGCTTTTGCTAGCAGCCAGAAATCCCTCCCCACCCCACACTCCTGCTCAGCAGCCCTGAGCACTGTGAATCCCCCTTGCAGAGGAGGATTGGTGGCAGAGATCAGGTTACCTCTTCCCAGGGCTCCCTGTTTGCTTCTTGCTCTGGCATTGCAACTCCACTGTCTTTTCCTGCATGTCCAGCCTTCGCCTACCTGAAAACTCACCTGAGTGCTGAAAAGATTCCCAGAGGTGCCACCTGCAGCTCCAGTGCCTGCATGCCAGTTAACTTATGCTGTGTTTGTCTCTCTCTTGATGATCACTCTGGCCAGCTTCCTCTCAGGCTGCTGTTCCGTTTCCACTTCACCTCTCAACCTCGACAACATAAGCAGGGGAATTCCCACCTGGGTGACCTGATTGGCATAAGAGCAGTTACACTATCAGTCCTTTTAAATGAGCCAACACACAAAAGTCTGGGTCTGTGGTAAGAGTGTACTGTGTGCAAACTAAGGCTTCTCCCACATCTCTCTTTGACCCTCTCTTTGTAATGACTGGCAAGATTTATTTCCCTTCTTTACCTCTAGGCATACATTTCTCCTAATTTGTTTTATCAGCACTCAGTGTTTGTTCTTGGATGATTCACTCATCAAATACCTGGAGTTCAGCCTTGATTAAACCATGAGCTCTGTTTCTCCATGAGAGTTAACAGAAAAATTGCTTCATAGCAGACTTTGTAGCCCCGGAGATAACATTGTAATAGGAAAACAGAACTGAAAGTGGTGTTTGCAGGCTCCACCTACAGAAATTATCTCATGTAGACACATGTACACATACACACACAGGAGTGTGAATAGATACACATTTATGAAAGCACACACAAACATGAAGATATATAAATATAGCAACAGAAAATATACACAAGTTTTGCTATTTTTCAAATACTTAGCCCATACACCAAGGCATTTCACGACAAAATAATTGCATGTCTAAAATTTAATCAAGATCTAGACTTTCCTGTACTTAAACTCCAGCAAAACAACCAAAGGGGAACACGAAAATGTTGAGTTAGAGAAACCACACCTAACTTAATCCCCTCAGAGAAAATTTCAGGTTCCCATAAGAAACTCTAAAACACAAGAAATCCAAGCACTCATTGTGGGACTACCTTAATGTAAACATCTGTATACACCTGCTTGTCTAGACTCCCTTTGTTATCAGTGGAGGGCAATACGGTAATTCTAGGAGATAACCTCACACTGAAGTAGAGAGATGAGTTGCCTCTTATCCCTTTGATTTTCTTCACTGACTACAAAGGAAGGTAACTAGAGCTGTCAGACTTGCATGGCCCAGTGATTACATAAAAATGCTCTGCAAAGTAGAAGAGCAAAACATAAAACTGAGCCAGTCTGCAACACCATCTAACCCATACATTAGAAACACAGTCTCACACCCAAAAATAGAAGGCTTCAGCTATTTCTGCGGGTAGGTAGAAAGGAAAGTGGTGGTGATCATGAAGAGAAAAAAAAACATTCCCAGGGAAAAATGGACACAGGGAAATATTAATTGAAGCCAAAGGCTTTTAATTTCATTTGAAAATTACAATGGCAATGTTAGAGACCAGCTGGGGATAGTGGTAACAGGAGTTTAAAAGTACAGAAATACCCCGTGCTCAGCAAAATCTACTTAAAAAAGTATATGAAGTGGTTTCTAAATATCATAGTTATTGGCAGGGACTTTTAAATACTAGAGCATCAAATCACTGGATAGCCTAAAACAAGACTTTTCCAGTTGGTAAAATGACAATTATCTCTATATTTGAAAAAAGCCAGTTGCAGTTACAAAGAAAAATAAGAAAAAATATTCTTAGCAGCAAGAAACAGTGATATACAGCCTTTTGTGGAAACACATTGAAATAGGGCATGCTGACTTCTATGACTTCAAGGCACCTTTCAAGTTTTCCCAAAACACCTTCTGCTGCTCTTCACCAGCAGGCCACTCCAGGTAGGTCTTTGTGTTCATGATCTTCCGCAGCTTGCAGAACCTCTTGGGAATTGCCTTGCTCTGGATGGGCTCCAGGAGGATGAGAATGGCCGCATCGTTGTTCTCATCAAAGAGGCGGAAATGCGAGAAGTCCAGCTCGTATTTGCACCACTCGCTCTGCACAAAGTGCTCGGACAGCACAAAGAGCGTTTTGCGGCTCTTCTCTATGGAGTCGATGATGTTGTCCACAATCCACTTCCCCGGCACAAAGTCCCGCTTGTGCAGGCAGAGCCGGAAGGGAGGGCAGGCCTGCTCCAGCTCCCGCACCATGGTGTCCTCCACCCACTCGGAGTCGTTCTCGCTGTAGGAGACAAAGGCGTCGTAGCAGACGTCCTTCGGCGGGGCGCGCTTGGGCTTCCGCTTGGCCTGCAGCCACGCCCACGTCATCCGCAGGTACCAGACCACGTGGTACTTGTAGCCGACGGCCACCAGCAGCAGGACGAGCAGGAACACCAGGACGCAGATCAACGACACCACCAGGGACCTGTGGCACTCCATCAGGGAGAGGCGCACGGAGCCAACCTGCGCCCCTCTCACCGCCAGCGGAGAGTCACACACGTACTTGTCCGGCCACCCCACCAGCACCTGGGCTAGCCCGGCCTCCTGGTGGATGAAGGAGAGGAACTCACAGGAGCAGATGAAGTTGTTGTCACTGGCATCCAGCAGCTCCATTCTCCTGAAGGACTCAAACTCCTCCTTGGAGAAACTGTTCAGCTTGTTTCTTCTGACGGACAAGGACACCAGGTTTGGAATGGGTGCGGCACCCGGCAGGGTCTTCAGCTGGTTCCTTGTGAGGTACAGCTCTTTCAGAAATGGCAGCTGCAGCCCAAACTCCTTCAGGTTGTTTCCACTGACATCCAAAACTTCTAGCGTTTGAGGAATGCAGGTTGTTACTTTAGGAATTTGAGTGCTGGACAGGTTTAAATATTTCAGCAGTTTTGGCCATTCACATGCATCTGGAATCTCACCAAAATTATTTAGGCTAATGTCAAGATTATTCAATTTGGGTAGACGAGATATATAATTTGCAGTCAGTTCCAGGGATTTTAGAGAGTTCTGACTTAGATTTAAAGTTTGCAGTGAAGGCCAGGAACGTTCACAGATTGTCTCATTTAAACGGTTATTTACAAGCAAATTATCATGGAAGTCCAGATACACAAGTGATGAAAAATTTCTTGCAAGGTTGCATGGTACCATGAAAACATTAGAGCTTGCGATAGTGAGTCTTTTTAGTTTGTTTATTTGTGACTCCATACCTTCCAGGTCAAAAAACAAATGAAAATTCTGTATCACTAACTTTATTACTGTTACTGATTCTACAAAACTTGGCCCACTCCTTGCAATTTCGTTAGTGTTCCATATTCCCCTCCCCTCAAGCACACAATTGATTGCCTCTAACTCTTTTAAAGAGGTGATTTCCTTCAATGACACTATTGCATGGCTAATAGTTTCATCTGTGAAGAAAGCTTCTTTAAACGTAAGTTTTTGCATCCTAAAACGACGTGTAGAATTCAGCACCAAGCTTTTTGGTAATTTGATTTCTGTCACTTCCAGCCAAGTGACAGAGTCCAGAAGATCCCTAACAAGTTCTGAGAATATATTACTATTTCTTAGGTTTATGATCATGTGATTTATCTGCTTAATTGATTTCAAACTTCCCTGCTCATACTCACTGAGATTGCTACCGTCAATCCACAACTTGTGCAGAAGCTCAATGCCCTCAAAGTTCTCTTGCCTTATCACAGAGAACTGAGCGTTGCCCAGGTGGAGAGAGCTCAGGTTCCTCAGGCTAGAAAAGGGGGAGCCCTGCCCCAGATCTCTGTAGGAATTGCCTTGAAGATAGAGGTGCTGCAGTGAAAAAAGGTGCCCAAACCACACAGGGGACAAGTGAGCCAAGCTGTTATTGGATAAGTCCAAGATCTCCAGTTTTGCCAGGGACTGAAACGAGTCTTCATCTATGGAGCTGATTTGGTTGGACTGCAGCAGCAGAACTCTCAGGTTCACAGCCTGCTGCAGGTCCTGGGATTGGATGCGCTTTATCCTGTTGTGGGTCAGGTTTAACACTGTCATTGTGGCCGTGAGCCCAGGGGGAATGAATTCCAAGCCCATGGAGAAGCAGTTGCAAAGCTGACTGGCATCGCATGAAGGACAAGCTTGCTTCAGGGCTTGCTGCTTGGAGAGGCTTGCAGCTAAGACCATGCAGATGGCCAACACTTGCCAGGTGTGTGTAGTTCTTGATTTGTGTTTTGCTTGGATGGACATTTTACTGTAGGAAACAAAAGAAAGAAAGTGAAGGTAGGGTCAAATTTTAATTTCAAGCAGCCCTGAAAACTCTTGAAATCCTGCACCATTTTTTTAGTAATCTCAGATTAATTTTTTTTAAATGTTATCCTGTGATGTCCGTCTTCCTCTCCTACTTGACCTTCTCAGCCCTGCAACCATGGTGTGTTGCTCATCCCTGGAGTACAGCCATATCACTTGTCAAGAGCCATAAAGGACACGTCTTAGTATCCTGCTTTTCTATAGGCACATGTGAGAGCTATGGTCCTCACCTCTTTCATCTCTCACATTATGCTCCCTCTCAGCAAAGAAGCTACAGCTGGATGTTTCAGCTCCAAATAGGGGAAGATGGTTAGATCATCAATTTTCTGAATGAGGGGATGATCAGTAGTCTGAATGAGTGCACACTCAGTTTGCATACAACACCAATTTGGGTGGGAGTGTAGATCCGTTGTAGGGTAATGAGGCTCTACAGGGGGATCTGGATTGGATGGATCCATGGCATGAAGGCAATTGCATGAGACTCAACAGAATGAAGTACCATGTGCTGCACTTCAGTCACAACAAACCCATGCAGCACTAAATGCTGGGGTCAGAGTGGCTGGGAAGCTGCCCAGCAGAAAAGGATCTGGAGTCACTGGTCAACAGGCAGCTGAATATGAGCCAGTATATGTTCAGGTGGCCAAGAAGGCCAATGGCATCCTGTCCTGTATCAGAAATAGTGTGACTAACAGGACCAGGGCAGTGACTGTCCCCATGTACTCAGCACTGGTGAAGTTACACCTCAAATACTGTGTTCAGTTTTGGGCCTCTCACTTCAAGAAGGACATTGAGGTACTGTGCAGAGCAGAGCAACGGAGCTGGGGAAGAGTCTAGACTGCAAGTCTTAAGAGAATCAGCTGTGGGAGCTATAGTTGTTTAGCCTGGGTGTAGCAGGCACAAGGCCTGCACGGCCTCCTTGGCGGTCAGAAGCCTGCCCCACGGGCACCATACCTGGGGAAAAAGGAGGCTCAGAAGGGACTTTATCACTCTCTACAACTGCCTGAAATGAGTCTGTAGTCAGTGCTGGTCAGTGTAGTGAGTGGGGGTCAGTCTCTCCTCCCAGGTAACAAGCAATAGGAAAAGAAGAAACAGCTTCAAGTTGCACCAAGGGAAGCTTAGACTGGATATTAGGGGAAAAACAATCACAGAAAGGGCAATCAAGCACTGGCACAGACTGCCCAGGGAAGTGGTATAGTCACCATCCCTGGAGGTATTTAAGAGACATGCAGACATGGTGCTTAGAGACAGTT